TTGTGTGATGTTATGAGTGTAGTTGTGTGATGTTATGAGTGTAGTTGTGTAGTTGTGTGATGTTATGAGTGTAGTTGTGTAGTTGTGTGATGTTATGAGTGTAGTTGTGTAGTTGTGTGATGTTATGAGTGTAGTTGTGTGATGTTATGAGTGTAGTTGTGTGATGTTAGGAGTGTAAATGTGTGTAGTAGTGGAGTGTTCGTGTGTGTATTTGTCGTTTTATGAGTGTAGTTGTGTGATGTTATGAGTTTAGTTGTGTGATGTTAGAGTATGTATGTGGTTTTAGGTATGAGTCTAGTTGTGTACAGTGAGCGTACCTGTGCTTGAAGTATAGTGTAGCTCTTATCAGTACTTTAATTGTGTATAGTTGTTAGTGTATGAATGTGTTTATATCTCATTAAAGCTGTTCTTATCTCAGTAAACCTATTTATATCTCATTAAACCTATTTATATTTCATTAAATCTATTTATATCTCATTGAACCCATTTATATCTCATTAAACCTATTTATAGCTCATTAATTATATTTTTACCTCATTAAATCTATTTATATCTCATTAACCCTATTTATATCTCATTAATTCTATTTCTACCTCATTAAATCTATTTATATCACATTAACCTATTTATATCTCATACTCCTGTGGGGGGTATTCTCTCGCCTATTGCTGTGCAGGTGCTGACAAAGTGTCCATTGGGTCAGACGCCGTCATTGCAGCAGAGGAGTACATTGCATCGGGTGTTAAAACGGGACAAACCGGTATCGAGCAAATCGCTCACAAATACGGCGCACAGGCTGTAGTCATCTCAGTCGACCCCAAACGAGTATACTGCAACGATCCCTCTGGTATGCGCATGGAGTTAAGGGTGTTGTGGGAGTGTTATGTGAGTCTTATAACGTTAGTGTTGGTTGTGAGTTGCTGTGGTATGCGCATGGGGTTAAGGGTGTTGTGGGAGTGTTTTGTGAGTCTTATAACGTTAATGTTAGTTGTGAGGTGCTGTGGTATGCGCATGGGGTTAAGGGTGTTGTGGGAGTGTTATGTGAGTCATATAACGTTAGTGTTAGTTGTGAGGCGTCGTTGTGATTAGGATGTTAATGTAATTTATCAGCTATCGTTGTGTTGTGGTGCTATGTTAGTCTTATGGTGTTGTGATGTTAGTGTTATATGTGAGGTGTCGTTGTGGTTAAGATGCTAATGTAATTTGTAGCTATCGTTGTGTTGTGGTGCTATGTTAGTCTTATGGTGTTGTGATGTTAATGTTAGGATGTTAGTGTTATCTGTAAGGTGTCTTCGTGTTGTGGTATTATGATGGCACATAATTGTGTCGTGAGTGTTTCACTTTGGAGTTGTGTGAGTTGTTACAGAGTGCAGTGAATGGCGTCTGAGATAACCTGCCAGTCTTGCAATATCGTTTCTTTGGTGTACACACCGTAATTTAGCTATGTCTAGTGTGTATGTATATGTATATGTATATATATATATATATATGTATGTATGTATGTATGTATGTATTTACATATATATATATATACATACACATATAGATATACATATGTATATATATATACATATACATACATATATATATATATATATATATATATATATATATATATATACTATATATATATATATACTATATATATATATATATATATATATATATATATATATATATATATATATATATATATATATATATATATATATATATATATATATATATATATATATATATATATATATATATATATAATACATATATATTATATATACTTAGGAATATGTTCAAGCGGATACGTACTGCTGTATACATTGAAAGACTTTCTCGACTACATACACACCCCTAAAGTATGCGTATTAAGACTATTTTTCATTATACCTATATTACGATATATATCCATTCTGACTATGGTTATTACACGTCAATTAAGACTTATACGCCCCTCCATCTTTCTATACAGTGTATGCTGCGGTGGATCGATACACCGAATTTCTCTTCGCCCAGAACTCAGCCACCACCTGCATCAGGCCTATACTCGCAGGGTTACGGTCTGTTAAGAGTGTGGTACCGGCGGACTCACTCTTACCCTTGCACCGCATGTTCATGAAGGCTGTCCTCATCTCGGGTTTTGGACACTTGGCCCAGGAGTTTATCGACACACCGTTGACTAACGTATCGGTATGCCAAGGATCAGTATATGTCTGTGTATATTCTTTGGGGGACAAATTGCACCCGAATGTTCATGAAGGCTGTCCCTTCTTTTGGGTTTTGGACACTTGGCCCAGGAGTTTATCGACACACCGTTGACTAACGTATCGGTATGCCAAGAATCAGTATATGTTTATACCTATTGAGTTGTATTTTTTTGGGTGTTTTTGGGTCCTATTGTCATATGTACGATACTGTTTATTAGTTGCGCCTACACTGTGTATATTCTTTGGGGGACAAATTGCACCCGGATGTTCAAGAGGGCTGTCCTTCTTTTGGGTTTTGGTCACTTGGTCCTGCAGTTTATCCACAGACCGTTGACTCTGGTTTTGGTAGGTCAAAGAAGTGCGGTCTTCAAATTCACACCTTTGCCCTGATATGCCGAGTTGGGTCTGTCGCGCTTTTAATATATATCGTATGTGCGTATATGTGTGTGTATGTTCCATACACACGCACACAACACATTATCTATACTCGCACACACAACACATTATCTTTCTTATACTCACACACACAACACATTATCGTTCTTATACACACACGCATGACACATTATCTTTCGTATACTCACACACAGGACACAATTTCTTTCTTATACACACATACATGACACAATATCGTTCTTATACACACCTACGTGACACATTATCGTTCTTATACACACGCACGTGACACATTATCGTTCTTATACACACACACATGACACATTATCGTTCTTATACACGCACACATGACACATTATCGTTCTTATACACACACACATGACACATTCTCGCCGTATGTTCCAATGCCCACGGCGGGTGTATCCCCTCACACATGTATTTAACGTCCGTCACAGAAGGCGCGTGTCGCCAATAGGAATGTGCTGCTACATGTGTTGCTGTGGTGGTGTCCTTGTGCGTGTTCTACCTACCTATCCCACCTTGCCGAGCTCAATGCGCACGCTGATGTATATTTGGACTAATCTGTCTTATGTACTTTTGTACCGGTATATATACTCTGACATAGGCATCTAACTCACACTCAAATTATATATCCTCTATACTTATCTGTTTGACTGTACGCTCAAACATATACATCTAACGCACACTTACACTATATATCCTCTATACTTACCTATCTGTATATCTCCTCACACATGTACTTCCATGAACATCACAGAGAACGCATGTGACCAGTAAGGATGTGTTGCTGTACTACTACTACGCCAGTCTGGTGTGCATCGTGCAGAAGGCCTATGAAAAGGCCTACGGCTGCCTTTCAATGGTATGTATGTAGCCTCAGTAAAAGCACACACACACACACACACACACACACACACACACACACACACACACACACACACACACACACACACACACACACACACACACACAC